TATCGAGCACCACTCTGACCAATTTCACATGCTCTTTTTTATTTTTCTATAGCTTAATATATCATCCGGATACAGCAGGACCCCCTTATACAAGTGCTCATGCAGAGCTGCATGATCACCACTGGGGGCCCCTGTAGCCCAAACAGCATCACTCAGAACTGGTAGCAACCCAGAAAGCAGTTGAACAGTTTTTCATTCTTCCCCCTCCTTAATTCTCACTTGGTAGTATGCCTCCCTCAAGCCCAACTTTGTGAAAATCCTCCCCTTTGCAAGATGGCCCAACATGTCCTTCATTAGAGGGAGGAGGTACTACACCAGGGGCTGCCATCCTCAGCTGGCTGAATGAAGCCCCTGTCTAAATTTTTGTCTATGAATGTGTGGAGCTTCTCCATCTCCCTAAGTGTCATCACCTAGGCTTTGGCAGTTTAGCCTCAGGCAAATCTTAATCTTAAAAACAGTCTACGGGGCAGTGGGGCAGAAATGTGTCGGATTCCTTCTCACCAAAGACCTTGGGAATCAGTGGTTCTAAGCTACCACTTACCTCCAGTTTGTTGGCAGATTTCACTTTCGCTTTCTTAGCTGCAGGCATATGGTGGCTTCTTAGCACTTTCCCTAATTCTTGTCAATTGGATATTTTCCTTTGCATCCGCCACTTGTCTCAATTCCAATTGATAGACGGGCTCCATTTTTTTTCCACCACATCAGGCCCAGGACCATGGACTCTGAAATCCATGGGGCCACAATAAATCAAATAGTCTCCATGTGGGTCCTGCCTATTAGCTTCACAGGCTCGATTAGGCAGGTCGCTGGCATCTAGCTGGGAAAATACTATGGGCTTCCTTAGCTTCATTCCTAGCTTCTCTACTACTTGGGGGCTGACCAGACATCTGGTGCATACTGAGTCCAGGAAGGTCGTAAGAACCCCTTTTACTCCCAAGGACACCAAAATCTCTAACAATCATAGGGATGATGGTGTCACTTACCACGAGGTCGTCTTCTTTGCTGTCACTCTCATAGAAGGCTGGTCCCATCTTGACAGGGGCCAAAGTTCCCTTCTCTTTGCTGGACAGAGGGGAGAGCTGTACAATCTGTGCCCTACATGTTTTCTCTTTTGGCTTTGGTGGATCCTTTTCCTTTGGTTGGCTCAGAAAGGGGGGAGCAGTCATTGGCCACTCCTTTGGCAGCACACCTTTCTGCAACAAAAGCAGCCACCAAAACTTTGGTGGGGTTTGCTTCCTCTGTCTGGCAGTGCATCCCTTCTTTCTCCCCTAGGAGCTGTTTGCCTCTCTGCTGGTAGATGAGATTGATTCTCCTTCCTGGTGTGTTCATGGAATTCCATCAGGTCAATCTCTACTTCTATGGCCACACAGTTCCACACTCTCAGGTGGAACACACACACTCCCCAGGATAGGGAATTCTGGTACAGTTCTTTGTTCAGCCCCTCTTGAAAATGGTAGACCAGGAAGCACTCAGGCCAGTCTTCTAGATGGCTGCCTAAGCAGTGAAAGTCTTGGATGTACTCCATCAGCAGTCACTTCCCTTGCTTTAAGGCACAAACATGGGCTTCCATATGTCAGGCCACCATGGGTTTCTTGAACTGTTCTTGTAGGGCTTGCATAAAAGCATCAAGGTCATCTAGCTCAGGGGCACCCTCACCATGCAGCAACACTAGCCATTCTGAAGCCATTCCAGGTTTACCATGATGACATGGACCCATGCCACGTCTGGATGCATCACTCTATAGCATCCCACGTTGTGCCAGACTTGAGCCAAGAAATGGGCTAAATGACTTGGGTGCCCATCGAAGCAGACCATGTAAGGGGGTAGCTGTCGTTCTTCTTGTATTAGGACATATACTGGGGGTGTAATGTCAGCTGCCGTTACCACTGCTGGGATTCTAGCTGTGACCACTGGTGCCGGGCTCCGACCATGGCTGGCACTACTGGCACTGCAGGCTGAAATAGAGGAGGAGGCATGGCAAAGGCCACTGCCACTCACATTGGGACTCCTGCAGCCATAGCTGTTGGTGCTGCCAGCTGAAGGATAGGAGAGGGAGTCGCCAGGGCCGCCGGAGTTTCCATGACTCCTGCATTGCTGACAGCTCCTGGAATTGCCGTGGCACAAAACTCCATCTCTCTGAACTTCTCTCTAAGCTGCTCTGTGGATGGGCTGTGGCCAGCAATTGGGATCTTCCACTCAGCAGGGTTATCCCATTTAGCTAGCCACTTTGCTCTCCATCTGCTGCCCTGGACCACATTGAATTGCAGGGAGAAGGGGGCTCTTCAGCCTCCACTGCATTTCCCATATTTGTCACCCAGCAGGTCTTTGGTCCCTGGTATGGGGCATCTCTTACTCGCTCTTTTGTGGCTGTAGGTGGTTGCTCAGACTCCTCGGGTCATGGTTTGGGTGCGCACCGGTGGCCTGTGTTACAGTACCAGCCTGAGGCGGCGCTGGCTCTTCTCAAGCTGGGATCTCTCCCAGCTTCTTTTTCTCTTCTGTATCTTTGGCCATAGCTGACATCTTGAGGTTGACCTGCTGGTGGAATCCAAGTAGTTTATTACTGGGAGAACTGGCTTAATGCCAACTGTTCCACTGCATTAAAAGGAAAAGAAACTCCTGGGACGTTTTTCTCCAGGAGTATAACTTTACTGAAAAGCCATACGGGTACAGATGTAGAAAAGCCAGTTCTGACATTTTTGTACATGAACAGCATAGGAAAACTTTTCCTTTATACTCCCTGGATCTTCCACTGTCTATTGTTCTCCAATCAGTTGTACTTTATTTTTGAAATGGTCTGTCCACCTCCAATGTTCCCAGTTGATAATTTTGGGCTTTGGGTCTGTCTCTATTCCAGGCAGCACACTTGCATTCCAGAGTTTCGTCCCAAACCTCCCTTACATTCCAATGCCTTCCCTTCCCCCCTCCCATTACTGTTGTCTGGTAACTATGACCTCTGCAGAAAATGCTTAGTAAAGAGGGCCTGGGGGATACCCACTCTCTTGGATATGATACCAGAAGAAACTGTCAGAAATAGGCAGTCCTACAAGAAACCTATTTGTTAAATTCATTTGCCGCCTATCTCGCCATGCAGCTACATAGGGGCTTACAATGATAAAAGGGAAGACAAATAATAGAACAGTAAAATAAACAGTGACAAAAGAATAAGTACAACAATATCATAACCAAAAAGATGGATGAAGAAAGAGCAGAGACCAAGATGGGGAGGTGGCATCTGCCATCAATCCAGCAGCCACCTCCAGTGTGGAAGGCCCCCATTTGGTCCTGAGATCAACAGCGGAGCCAAGTCTTCAGGCTCTTATGGAAAGATAGGAGGATGTGGGCAGATCTTATCTTTAGAAGGTAAGATATTCCAAAAGATTAATGTTGCAGGAGAGAAGTAGAGCCTCTCTGCTAGCAAGAGTAGGATGAGCTTGTCCTAGCTGGACAAGGCAGTTCATCAGGTAACCTGGACCTATATCTTTAAGGGCTTTATCCAGTTAATTATTTTATACCAGGGGTAGGCAACCTTGGCTCTTTTATGACTTGTGGACTTCAACTCCCAGGAATTCTGGGAGTTGAAGTCCATGAGTCATAAAAGAGCCAAGGTTGCCTATCTGTTCTATACATTGTAAATAGGATCAATCCCAATAATATGCTTACCGATCAACAGGAATGTTGAGGATGCCAACAAAACGTGCTTCTGTCATGATATTGAATTAAGTTCTTTTCCATGCTCAATTTTTGTTTACTAGCATTAATTCTCTTTGCTGAACAGAGCTCCCTTTGCCTGGTCCCCTTAAATTTTTTCAATCATACTGATTTTGTTAGGAATTATTGAAGTGTAGTGTTCTCCAAACCTACTTTAACTTACCCCAATATCATATCTACGAATGATAAATTTGACACTAATTTTAGCAAAGCTTATGAATCTAGATTTAATGAATAATGGTTTGGCCCATTTTCTATGCTGGTCTTTAATAAAACCCTTGAGGACAAGAGTTTAATACGCAGGACAAAAGTTCATGGATCAAATTATTTTAACCTATCAAACATGGTGTTCTGGCTATAATCAGCTCTGATTCTGATGCATGAAACATAAAATAGGAGTTCTGTGTCTGCCATATTGAATCTGCAAACTACCTAGCCTTTTGATTTATATTGTGCAGATGCAAGCATGGGAGAGAAATATCTCTGCAGCATATTTACAGAAATCTTGTACTTTCTGCCCTCTACTTCTCAGTATCAATCCTGCAATTTCATCATCCTAAATTCTTCAGAACATAGAATTTAACTTTCTTACTTGGCTGCAAATGTTCAGGATCAATCCAAAGGGATTTGATCACTTTTCCATTCTAGATGTTACCCAATAACTCAGCAGACTCACTGGTTAGGTCTGTAGTAAAATTCCTCTAGAAACATCAGGTGTGGAAAATAGAATTGTTTACCACTTATTGTAGGGATTAAAATAGCATAAAATCCAAAATTCAGTCATCTCAAAATAAAGTATATGTTCTTATCTGCAGTTTGAAGTTTGAATACAATAGTTTCAATATTCTTAAACCATACCATGCTATTTCATTGCACCAACATTAATCAAACCAGTGGGACAGTCCTGAGGATTAGGAGTAGCAATGGGGACAGACCCAGGTTCATGTCTTCCCTCAGTCATGGAAATGCTCACTAGATAACTGATCCATCCACACTCTTATCAGCTATGTAGCTACCTCATAGAATACATAGAAGTATCTGAGCATGAAGTGCAACTTGATACTCTGAGCAATCTTTGACCCAACATTCATTTAGTAAGCCATTTCTAAATTATTTGTTGTATGTTGTAATGATTGAAGTATGTGTCAATTGTGCATACAATGATGCACTGAAATGCTGCCTCTGAAATTGATGTTTTGTTGTACCAAAGCATAATGGTGGTTGACCTGTGAATAGTATTAATATTTCAAGAACAGAATTATGCAATACAGCCAGGAAAAGCTGAACAGACAGTAATTCAAATAAAATTTATTGTCTTCAGTTCCTTATTTTAATTCCCAAAAAATGAAAGCAAAACTAACTGGAAGTGATTGCCAAAGAATTGGATATTAACAATAAGTATATATTTTGTTTATGAATAATAATATTTAAGAAGAAATTGCATAGATCTTATAATTGGAAATATATCAAAATTTACCATTCAAAGTTTACAGCATCTAACTGAAAAGAAACATTCAATCATAAATGCAAAACAATGTGTAATGATCTATAAATAAGACATGTTATTTATTCAGCTGTGAAATTCAAAGAGCAACATTTACACTGGGAAGGAGGAAGAAAATTATTTTGGTTTCTTTTTGGAACCTCTTGTTGATTAGCATTTTCCAGATTTAAGGCTGTGCATAGCAGATCTAACTTCTCATAATTTTTGAAAATTTTAATATTCATCATTAAATGTTGAATATTCATCCGTCAATTGTATTATGAACATAAAGTATTTATTAGGACTAACATGGTTATCACATAGTGTGAAATATCTCTTGTATAATAGATCCCAGGTATCTATTCATGGAAATAAATCCCCAAAACATGAACACCTATGTCAAATTGACAAAGCCTAGGGGGTTTGTATCAACACAGAACTGATAAAAGAAATCCTGATAAAATCAGCTATTTGTAGAATGATAATAGAAAACATAACACAGAACTGCAATTTCAGAAGTCTGTAAGAACATCTGTTAATGTGCTTGTTGCATACCAGACTAATCTCAGCCTCCTTTACATATATTGTTATACAAGTAGTGCAAATTAGTTTCTCCTACTATCAAAGATTATTCATATGTGAGATTTGATACCAAAAAGCTTTCCTTTTAGAAGCAAAGATTTATATAACATTATCTCCAGGATATAGCTTTATTTCCTTTTAAATTGGTTTTTAAGCATGATTAAATAAATTTTAGTTTTTATAAATTGAATGCATTTCATAAACATAGTTAAAGCATGATATTACTTATATAATACTTTTGTTTTACTGTATATAGATAAATATGTATAATTTTGACTGTCATCTTAAGATTTTCATTGAAAAAATACTTTAAAAGCTAGTAAAACTTTCATTAGCCTTTCATTCATTATTGAGATATAAAAATCCAAGCAGACAAGGCACAAAAATAATCAAGGTCAGTTCAAAATGTATACATTGAAAAAAAGCTATAAATACGATTTTATGGACTGAATAGAGAACTTTCTACTTTGATAGCTTTAATTTAATTTAAAGCTACATTGCTATTTAGATACATGAGCAATAATATTGAAGCTATAACTGTGGGGACAAGGTGTACGCTTATTTTCACTTTGTAAAAGCTGATCTGTCTTACTGTACTATGAATGGGATTTTGCAATCTTCTGTAAGGAATCTTCATGTGTGCTGGACTTCTTCATGATTACATGACTACATGATTAACAATCAGTTGGACCATTCTGAAGTTAGGGGTAGTTTGCATCTCCTTCATCTTGAGGAAGCAAAGCTTCCTCATTTACCATTCTAGCTGGATGGGATTAATACCCAAACCAGCTGGCTGGTACAACAGAATGGGCATTCTAAATAGCACAAACCTTTTTATGGGAAGTTAAATTTATTTCCTAATCTTTTCTCCCAATAGTTGATAAATATTATTTAAGTATGTAGTTAATTTATTGCAAGGAAATAGTTCATAGCAAATAACAGAGTTTAGATTCTAGCTTTGTTGTCTCTTTTTACAGCAACAAATGATATGGAAGAAGTCTTTCCTTTTGCTTTTGGACTTGTACCAAATTTCATCTCAACAGCTAGCCTTTTTTTTTGAACAAATAATTTCAATGATCCTAAAAGTAAGTTCTGCATTTATGAGTTGCTGTCCTTCTTCGAGGAAGATGGGTGTTTACAAATATGTAAAATAAAATAAATTGATGTAGTCAACAAAACTGGATGTAGAAGCCAAAAAACTATTCATGAATTTGAAAAATGAATAGTTTCAGAAATCTCTGGTTCACCTACCTATCATTAAATTATCGAACTTCTACATTCTCCAAAGAAACAAAAATATCCATTAGATACACAAAGCACATAGTGAGAAGGATGGAATCAATAGCTAACATAATTGCTTAGATATTTCTATTTTCCTACATGGCACCAGGAAACAAAGTTTTCAGAGTGATCCAAAAAGGCAGAAACATCCTTTTACATGTTACATCCAAACAAATAAACAAAAATATTCTTCTCAAAATATGTTCTTTAGGCAGGCTCTGTTATAGCTGTAAATTATTCAGTGGCTTTAAGTGCAAAACTTTGGCAGTGTGAAAAATACAAAAATTCATCAATATTAGAAAGTGATAATAATATGAAGTCTGATCCTACAAGCAATGTGGTACACATTGATTTCAGTGCAAGATCAGATATTAATTAATGTCTGTGCGATATGTGTACTACATACAATAAACACATAAGGTATCAACACACAGGAAGCATATCCACTTCTAATATATGCATATATAGTAGAATGGCTCTTCAATAAACTTGAGTTTTTCATTTGGAGGTGCATTATTACAAAATGCAGCTTTAATTTCCAAGAAGACAATCACATCTGAAGATTAAATAATGCATCTTTTTAATGCCTTTAGAAAATGGGCATTTGAATCCAGGTGAATTTAGCAATGACTCTTCCAGAGGGGATTAAAGTACATCCACCCATCGCCCTGCAAAGAATTACAGAAATTCAGATAAGAATCTGTACTAAATGTAAGAATTATCAAAAATATAATACACTTAAGTGGTAAGATCTCCGTTAAGAAAATATCAAGGACATCCAAAATATTTGTTGACATTCTTCTGGCAATAGTTTCCAATGATGTAGATTGAACACAGTTTTTTAAAAAAATCAGGGTTTTGTTTTTGATTTATTCTTTTTAGCATCATCTTCTTAATGGAAAAGTTTAAAAGGAAATTATAAATCTAGATGTTCAGCATAATTGTAATAATACCTAATAATATTGTCTGCTTTGAAAAATCTTAATACCAAAAATAAGCTGCTATACTGGAAGTATACTCCAAGAATACAATCCACTATAGAATGGCATCTTAGCTTTCATGTTTCACTTGTGCTTCTCTTAACTAAAGCTACTCCACTGCCTCATCTTAAACTAGGGCTGCTAGATGTAGGCTATAAAAAGATGGATGATTAATTCATTTATTTGCTGTCATGTAACAGCTGTCCAGATTTGTGTAGCCTGGCTCTCACAGACCTATTTAAACTGTAATGTTCTGGGTTTAATCCAAATTTAGATGTAGGATTAGAGGTTAACATAAATAGATTTTCAAATCTCTATTCAGCAGTCTTCTGGCTCTTGAAAAATTCTAGACAGATTGGAAAGCCTTGCTAAATGGTTTTAATCCGAAATTGCTAACATTGGTTCTCTTTGTATTCACCAGGTTCTCTTTGTACTTACCAGGTTTGCCAATGTCTGATTTAAAAAAATGAAAACAAAAAAATGGTTGGTGGAAAACAAAACTACCAAGAATGCCTCTGGGCCTCAAATGGGTGCCACAAGTCTCTTAAACTGCTGCAATCCCATAATTTTGCGTGGGGATATGCTCACATTCTAAGAAACAACCATGGCAGCAGGCACCGGAGAAGTAGCATCCCAAGAAATCAATGCTTTGTAACTTAGCAATCCTTCAAGTCAACATTTTGCAGGAAAACATGTTGCATAAACACCAGCTATATCTGGTGAAAAGGACCAAGAAGAAGGATCCTTAGAATAAGCCTGGATAGCTAATAGCCCATTACACTACAGCTGGCCCCATTCAAAACACCCCCCAACTGTTTGTCCAGTATTTAAAAAGGGGCTGCTAGGAGAAACAGTTGCAGGGCCACCAGTTCCATTGCCCAGTCTACATCTAAATCTAACCATCCACCGAAACACAAATTGAACTGACTGGAAAGATTTTCAGGAACATGAGAATAAACTAGTCTCATTGTGGGAACTCATCAGTATAGTTTATTATTTATCTTGGCAGCAGTGTTGGCATTGCCATCACATTTCAGTCTGGGATACAATAATAATAGAAAACCTCTAATTTATTGTGGTGACAACCCATTAGTAGTTCTGTCCAGCCCATATTTCTCCTTCCTTTCTGTTCTTTGTATAGCATACAAAATTTCACTCAAAACCTGATAGCTAAAATGTGGTCATTTCTAGCTGCTGGTGTATATAGCTTTTTTTTTTTTTGGTTCTGCTTAATCAAATATTTATCCATATCACCCTTATCTCTAAACATTTTACTTTAAACAGTTGTATAATTAATAAAAGACCTGCAAAACTCAAAATGTCATAAAGATATTCAAATGCAATGACTTGCTATGAATGGACATTTTTGTTGTCTATTATCTTTTCCATTACCTCTTTGATAAAATATTTTGGTTTCCAAAGTGTGTTGCTAGCTGCTCGTTGTCTCTCCTCTTTTCGCTGCCTCTCCTCAAGGAAGTGCTTTTGTTCTGTTGCCACATCAATGTCACCTTCCTTCAGGGCAGCAGTGACATGTTGCCATAAATGCCTTAGATAGAGAAAGAACGAGAAGGCTTGATTTGAAAGCAAACCTGTTCTAAAAGAGCTATAGGACTCTTGCCTGTTGGTTTGCATGGAAAGAAACTCATGGACAAAGTCCACTAAAGCCCTGAGGAGATAGGATCAAGCCATAACTGCCAGCATGGAAACCCTTTTTCAAAAAAGTACAACAAAAGCAACAATTTAAAAAAGAAAAAAAAAGGGCAAGCTTCGTATGAAAAGCAAATGTACTAATTTTAATATTAATAAGATTAAATGTTAGTAATAAATTGGTATTATTAATTTTACATTGCAGTAGCTGTTAATCCAATATTATATCGTTGGACTTCTGCTTATCATAATTTTTATTTACTTATTTAGAAGATGGATATGGCTGCCTATTTTACATATGTACCTGGACAGCTAACAACAGAAAACAAAAGCGTTTAGTTATCTAAAACTCTTTTTCTTTTCTTTTCTTTTTCTTTGAACCAAAATGATAAGAGTAGATACTGACTCCAGAGGCTCCTACAACATTTCCCAGAGCTATTTCTTTTCCAAATGTTTTTGGAGGATCAATTAAAGCATGGCCCTCAGATTTGCCATTTGGAGCACCTAATGAAAATAAGGGACATGAATGTAGGAATAAGCAAAGACTTGTATGTGCTTGCTCCAATCTGAATATTTACAAACTATTCTGTATACTGCTGATTAAAATGAACTACAGGAAAGTATTAAACTGTGTAAACCATGAAGAATACTTATATTGAAAACATACAATTAGAAAAGATTAAATGTTTTCCCTTATCAACTATCTTATTTAGAACTGTCATGAATCTGTTTTCTCTGGAAACAACATACAATCTTTTGACATCCTTTCCATGGCTCAATTTATTCCATAACAATTAATAAAAATATTTTCAATTCACCTACAATTAGTTCAGCACACTCTTATGTATTTTTGAATTCCTTATGAGTTGCCCTTAATCATAAGGAAATCCACAGGAAAGTAACGCTGGGCCATTTTGGCTTAGAGCATGGAAGCTTCCCTATTCCATTCAGCATGCTGCAGTGCATCTATCTAGCAAAATCATGCGCTTAGAAAAATCTTTTTTAAAATGCTGTTTACAAAGAAACCTACTTGTTGATTATTAGTTGCCTTAAATACAACTAAAAGAGATGAGATTTCACCAAAAGAGTTTCACCTTGATTCAAATGGGCCTTGTTTTGATATTGGTCTGATCTTCTTCCGGATTATGGGTAATTTGGTGGTATCAATTATTTTGGTTTCACCACTACTATATGTGAATTCCAGAATGCCATTCCACTCTCCTTGTGCTTTACACACTATGGTATTGGTTGGATTATGCTTCACTTCTGCTGTAACCCTAGTATAAATAATAAAGGTTTAAGATTACTGACATTCGCATATACCATAAATATTTCACCACAACAAAATTCAGAAAAATCAGTGTAGGTGCTTATTATGATTTTGCTTTTTAAAAATATATGTCAGATATACTTTTGAAGTAGACAGCATTCTTGATATAAGTTCAGTATGTTTTAAACTTAAATAACAGAAACAATTCTTCATGCCAAAATATTGATCACATTGCAGGACAAATATGACCGCATTGTTTTTTAAACCGGAACTTAATAACAACTTAATAATACCTGTTTTTTGTCCATATATATATATATATATATATATATATATATATATGTGTGTGTGTGTGTGTGTGTGTGTGTGTGTGTGTGTGTGTGTGTGTGTGTGTTTGGTTGTTCGGGTTTTCTGTTTGTGCAGAATGCTGTTTTGATGTTGTGTTTATGGAGGATCTTACTGATTCTGTCTGTGGTGCCTTTTATGTATGGGAGGAGGGCTTTGCCGTTTTCTTGTTCTTTGTCTTGGATTTTAGTGGGGGTTTCTTTTTGGATTATGTTTGTAATCTTATTTCTATTGGAATCCATTGGATGTTAGTACATTGGTGAGAGTGTGTAGTTCGGTTTTTAGGTGTTGTTTGTCAGCTAAGCGTTTTGTTCTGGAGATGAGTGTCTTGGCTACAGAGTTGATCTGTGCTGGGTGGTGGTGTGAGAGAGCGTGCAGATAGCGGTTTGTGTGTGTTTTCTTCTGATGGATGGTGTGTCCTAGGGAGCCATTGGATTTCTTGTAGACTTAGTCTACAGCATTCTACACAAACAGAAAAATATCCACCATCCTTAGAAACCCCAAAGATAAAATTGAATTAGAAAATCAAGGAGTATACGAAATCCCATGCACCACTTGTCCAACCACATACATCGGACAAACCAACAGAAGAATAAGTGCACGCATTGAAGAACATAAGAACTCAGTCAAAAAAGAGGAACCAACATCTTCCCTGGTCCAACACCTTAAAGCCACAGGACACGAAATTGACTTTAAAAATATCAGAACCATTGCCAAAAGTGAACATTTTAATAACAGAATAACAGAGAAGCCATCGAGATAGAAAAGCCCCACACAGCATGAACAGCGAGATGATACCTTCCCGCCTACCAGCCATTTGGAAACATGCCCTTATTGACAAACTCCCTAACACAAAAAATGATACCAGACCCACACTCACAAAAACCACACAGGATGTCACCACCACAACATCCACGCAAAAAGCAAACCCAAACCACACCGATGATGAGGCACAACCACAAACCAGAAGCCAGACCACAGCTGCATCATTAGCCACTTTAAACCCCTCCAATCCATACATGAAGCAAACTGACACCCTCCATGAAGATGAGGCACGACCACGAATGCGAAGCCAAAAAATAGCAAGGCAGCCCAAAATCTTAAACCCCCTGCAACTCAGACTAACCTGAGCACAACCAAACAGAACACTCCCCCAGCCAATCAGAGCACAGCCAACCCCCCAGCCAATCAGAGCACAGCCAAGCCTCCTACCAATCAGAACACACTGTCACGCGGCCCTCCACCCAATCAGAAACACCAGCCAAGCCTCCCACCCAATCAGTTTCATACCCCCACTGGCAGTTATAAGGAAGAACAGCTAGACCACACATTTGCTGCTCAATATCACGAAGCTGAAAACACCAGCCTGAAGATGACGAATGGGACTTCGTCGAAACGTCGCCAAGACACTTCCAATTTTACGCGGGAGAAAACCCGAACAACCAAAGACCTACATACAAACACCCGCGAAAACCTCAGAAAACAAATATATATGTATGTATGTATGTACGTGTGTGTGTGTGTGTGTGTGTGTGTGTGTGTGTATGGATGATAGTCTGATGCAATGGAAAAATACAGAACAATGAATTTCACACTTCACTGTATTCTGACTCAATGGCGTCTCTATATATACATATACATACACACAGACACACACACACACATACATACATACATACACATATATATAGTCACAAGCAACTGCAGAATTGGAAGCCATATACAATAGTCCAACCAATACTTTGTGCCTTGGTATTTTAATAGACTATTCCAAGGAGAGAGTAAAACTTAGTTTTCATACCTGTGTAGTTTTCCTCCATAGAATGGCTTAGTGTGGAATGTGACTGTAGCAGAGTAACCACTTTTGGCACAGTGAATATTGACTTTGCCTCCAAGCTCCACCCAAGGAATAGTAAGTATAGAACGCGCATAGGCACAAGGTAATGTGAATATATATTCCTCCCCATGTTCCAAGAGATAAAGAATGCCTATGGATGTGAAGGAAGAAGAGATTAGCATTCTGAGTTTTGGAAAAGCATGATCATTGTTAAAATGTATGCTTAAATGAAACAGTTTGAGAAAGGTAAAATATTAATCTTCCTTGTAACTTCTTTCAAGAGGAAAAAAATGCAAAGACTGGTACAAGTAATGACAGTGATTTTTTTGCAATTGAGCTTTTGTTGAATCAACTTTAGCTATTGGGCTAGCCATTCAATCACACAACTATAATGAATGGCGGTACATGGATTTGCAGAAATCAAGAGACTATTTTGAAATAGTGGCAAATATCTGTAGCTCAGATGTAAGATAAGGATGAAGGTTTGTTCTCTGAGTTTGAGGGCTGGTTTAACATCTTCCGCAGAGTTTAGAGGATGTCAGTGTTCTTCTGTTTATAAGGGCATAAGGGCTGTAATATGATAGCCTTGGAAATTTGTCTATTATGTTCTGAATATAACATCTTATAATCATATGAATATCTATGATTGGGATGTAATATCATACATTATATAGGACAGGGATGGACAATTTACATAAATATTTAAATACCACCAGCTTGCTCATCCTTACAATAGGAAATCCAAAGGAGATATCTTGAATATTAGAATCAATTTATAAATAAGAGATGCTATCAATCCTAGGGCTAATTAATTTCAGGGGGTGCTGCTGGGTACTTAAAGGCTTTTTGTTCTCTGAGGTATTAGACAATTTGATCTTCTCCCCTTTGCAAACTAAAAGTGAAATTACTAGGAAAGAATAATCCAAAGGTTAATTGGATTATTAATGCAGTATTATTAATCTAGGTACATGCACTATAGATACATAAAACCTAATAATCCTGGAATGGAAGAGAACATTCCCAGAAGGCAGTTCTTCCTTCCCAATAGCAGGCTCACTGGACCTTGTTTGCTGCACAGATACTATTCAATTTAAAGAAGAAAGATCACAATTGTTGCAACCAATACCAATGTCAGTTCCACAGTATAATGTCCAGAATTTGAGCAGCCCCTCTGTACAACCTGGGCATCATCCCTGTGTCCAAAAGGGTGAAAAAAGAGAGAAGGAAGGAAAAAGGATGGATCGATGGAGAAAATAAATGGCTTACAGGGCTTCCCAGGGTAGACGTTTTGGCTGCCCCCGCCTGTCCATGCCACTCTCCTACTCGCCTAAAGGGCACATTCCATTGGCACTGCCGTCGCCTCCATAGCGTTTGCTGGGAAGCTCTATAAGCCGTTGTGGCCACCTCCTTCCCACTTACCTGCGCTGCATGGGCTTCACAGCTCCAGAGTGCACTGGCCAAGATGCCAGCAGGCTGTGGGTGCTGCCGGACACCTTCGGCCCCACACGCTTACCATCTCCCGTACATGGAAAAATAAGACATTCCCCGAAAATAAGCCCTAATGGGACTTTTGGACCAAAAATAAATATAAGACCCAGACTTATTTTCAGGGAAACATGGTATATCTATATGTTTTTTTAAGAATTGAATATTAACATGAACTATAAATCTTATTTTTTAACAAAACAAACCACAAATCATTAACCATTTTTTTCCTTTTCTGACCATGAGTTCAATGTATCGCCATTCAACCCTTATCTAAATAGCATTTCTACTGATTTTTGTGTTTGGAGGCTGAACATTGCATCAAATGCTTTACTGCTTTTATTCCATGTAAATTATGGAAAAAGGGAAGGAGAATAAGAAATTCTCAGGTTTCCCTATTATTCTTTTTAATAAGTAAGCATTCTATATAAAATATAATCTCTTTGTGACACTTCTTACCTTCACCTACCATAGAAACACCTACAGACATCCCCATGAATTTGCTTTTAGTCCAAACGTGCACATTCACACACACTTTCTTCTCTTTGCACTCGCAGTAAAAACTAGTTACTGGTGGATGATGGGACACTTGTTCAGCTACAAATTTCAGCCTATAACATTCAGATGAAGCTTGCCCCTTGAGACCACAAGAGGCAGTGTTTGTTCTCACTGGTTTTACTTTGTCCTTAGGCACATTCCAAGAGCAATGAAACGTTTCTCCAATTATTGGATTATATGGCTTCTTGGCAACAACTCCTTTTCGGCCTTCATAAAAAGCTGTCAAATAGTACTCCACGAAGGAGATGATTCTTTCCTCAGGAGTGGTTCCACATGAAATTGCTAAAAACAAGTCTGGATGGGCCAAGAAGTTTGCAAACATCTCCAGCAGAGACCTCTTCTCTAAAATAAAGGCTGGAAGCACTACCTATATAGAGTACAGTAAAAAGAAAGTAATCATTTTGCCATAACCGCATGAGGGAAAGATTAAGCTACCAGCAATTCTTTGCAGAATGCGAACATCAATCTTTTCTCCCCTTTTTGGAATTCAAGAATAAAGACAAAAGCAGTACCTCCAATGTTATACTAAGCAATTATGCAAATCACTCCATTTCTCCAATCCCTATTACACCTTAGAATTAGAACACCTCTTCCCTATATTATTACCAAAGAAAATATTAATAAAGACACATAATTAATTAGCTAGATATATTTAAATCTATCAGTGAGATAAATAAAATTATTAATTCTCATTCTGTTGCTACCATATTATTCATTCAGATTAGATGTTTTCCATCCTGTCCTCAAGTAATAATATTTAAATATTGTACATATGTTGTACATAGTATGTTTAGGTGTGTGTCATGTATGTATTTCACTTTGAGAGTGGGCAACTAAATTTCATTTTTGATGTGTGCCGTTGTGCCCACAGTAAAAAAATGACAATAAAGGTTATCTTATCTTATCTTATCATTTTATTCCAGCATGTTGTAAGCAAAATTACACATTTCATTTGTGTCTCTACTTCAAATAGCCCTTCCTATTAGAGTCACTAGATGAGATCAATCCAACAAGCTCTTTCTTTTCATGCATTATTCAGGAAAGTGGTCTTAACACTGGTGCATTCAATTTTTTCACTGATCAAAATAAGTTATTTGCTGACCTTTCAATATTCCAAATGCACATTCAACAGAACAGGCCAATTTAATTAGAGCTTTTTTCAATATCCTATTATTAATGCACAGAGTAAATGCTAGGCTCATTTTCTTTATCTCTTACTTTCTAATATATAAGATTTTTCCAAAACTAAAACATTTTAAAATACATGAAAACTAGACAAAATAACTGTTAATATTTTTAATACTTTAAAGGACTTCTGGTGGCGCTGCGTTATGCCGATGGCGGCTACTTTGTAGCCGTCTGTCTGAGATTGTGTAAAAACTGCAGAAAGACAACAGACATCAGCTGTCCCGCAGTTTGAAACTTCCTTCCTGGGCAAAAGGAAAGAGGTGAGTTTTTTTCCTCAGATAGTGGTAGAGCCCCTGAGATCTCAAAGATTTTGGGGGGGGGGGTTGAAGGGTGAGCTCCCACAGAGTCCGAGGCATTCTCCACTTCTCAGACGCCTTTGTCCCTTTTTGCTTTTTGGGACAAAGCAAGACGCCACTCCCACATCCGCAATTAAAGTGAACTGGTGAGTTGATTTTGAAGCGGACAGAGCTGACCAGCAGAACGAATTTATATGTTAAATTTGGACTTTAACTCTGGAGAAGAACGATTTTTTCCCTTTCTTTATTTTAAGAGAAAGTAAAATGGCAATGAGAGGTTTCTTTTTCTGTTTCATGCGCATGAAAGGAAAGTGAGGAAAGAATTCTTATTACTTTAATATTTTTTCTTGTTATAAAGTTTTAGTAATTTTTGGGACTTTGGGTGTTTATAGATAGAAGAGGGGTTTTTTTCCCCTTCTTCCTTTTTTTTTGGTCTTTTGGATTTTTTAAGGAGGAGAAAAACTTTTTAAAATGGCTTCAAAGCGTCAAGTGATCTCTGCTGTGCCTAAGGTGGCTTCTTCTCCGGCAATATTAACAGTTCAACAACCTAAATCTAGATCACCACCACCCTCTCCGCCTGTACCACCACTTACGGTAAAAGATATTCAAGATGTTATGGGTAATGTTGTGTGTCAAATAAGAGAAGAAGTGAAGGAACTTTTAGAAGAGAGAAATAAAATTATGAGGGAGGATATAGTACAGGCTCTGCAAGGACTTGCCTCTGTTGTTGAAAAGCTGACTGTCGTCTTGAGGATGTTGCAGATAAAGTGGATTTATTGGAAGATCGTGTGGAAAGTGTGGAAAAAACTGGAGAATTCACAGGATGAAATTGTTATGTCTCAGTATAGAGAAATGGAGTTCGCTTTAAGAATCAGAGGCTTGAGGGAAAATATGCAAGAAAATCTGAGGGAGGTGGTGGCAAACGATATTGCTGGGATATTGGAGAGGGATCCAGAGGAGATATTGAGAGAAATAGAAAAAATATTCAGAGACAACTTGTGGATTGCAAAGCAGAGAAATTTACCAAGAGATGTGGTGATTTACTTTGGGAAAAGATCTTTACGTAATGAAATTATACAAGCATTTTACAATAAGAGATTTCAGATTGCTGCTCAGGATGTTATAATTTTAAAGGAGATTCTATCAAAAATTTTAAGAAGAAGAAAGGATTTTGCTTTTTTATCAGATGAACTTAAAAAACAACAGATGCCATTTAGATGGGACATCCCAACTGGAATTGTGGTGAGCCATGCGGGGACACGTTATAGACTTAATACTGTTTCAAAGGCAAGAGAGTTTTACATTTCTGTCCTGGAAGCGCGCTCATCATCACCTCTAAGGTTTAAAGTATTGGATGTGAAAGAGGGAGAGCAGTTGGTTGAAGATGTTGTATCAATGAAAGCTGGAAAAGCACAGGCTGAGTTGATACAGCAGTCTGCTGAGATGAAAGAACAGAGAATGACCCGAGCAGCTTATAGACAAAAAGAAAAGGAGCAACAGAAGAAGGAAATAAAAGAATTTACACAAGAATCTGTTTCTGAGCCTGTGGGAGGAGCAAGACCTAAGAGATCTTCGATGATCCGATCTTCGATGGCAGATCTTCAAGCAGTCTTCTCCAGGCTGGCAGCCGGAGGAGATGGCAAAGCTCCTGACTTGGAATGTTAACGGCCTCAATTCTCCACAGAAAAGGAAGAAAATATTTCACTATTTGAAGCAATAGAATAATGATATTGTTTGTTTGCAGGAAACTCATATTATTTTAAAGGATCAAAAATATTTGATTAATGCTCGATTGGGTTCACATTTTGTATCTTCTGCTCCTGGAAAAAAAGGGGGTGTTGTTATTTATGTTAAGAAAAGTTTGTCAGCTAAATTAATAGATTCTGATTCTCAAGGAAGATATGTTATGATTGAAGTGGGATTGTATGGTAAGAAATTGCTTATAGTGGGTTTATATGCTCCTAATCAACAACAAAAACAGTTTTATAAGTTTTTACATCAAAAATTGATTTCATTGGATTATAGATCTGTTATTTTGATGGGGGGTTGGAATGGAGTGTTGGATACACATAAAGACAAGAAAGGACTTTCTATTTTCTTCAAGCAAGCTAAACTACCTAAGGCTTTTTTTGATTTGAAAGATGACTTGGAATTGAGAGACATTTGGCGGGAACGTAATACCGAAAGAAAGAGATTTTACGTTTTTTTCTGATAGGCACCAATCGTTTTCAAGAATTGATTTTTTTTAGACTACTACAGACTTATATTCTAGTGTTAAAAATGTAAAAATCTTCCCAAGGACATTGACTGATCATAGTCCTGTATGGTTGGAGTTAATTGCTGAGAAGGAGGAGAGAAGATCGTGGAGGTTGAATGAAAATTTATTTAGATATGAGGTGAATGTACAGAAACTCAGAGAATATTTAAAGGAATTTTTTACTTTAAATATGTCTAAGGGAACTTCAATGGCTATGGTATGGGACGCCAGTAAGGTTTATATGCGTGGGGTTTTGATTCAAATGAATAAGGTTTATAGGCAAAAACAAATGCAAAAATGTAAGGAATTGGAGGATGAGATTAAAATAAAAGAAAAAGCATTAATTTTGAATCCTTTGGATAAGAATGTAAAGGCTTCTATAAATTTGCTTAAAACACAATTTAATATGTTAATGGCTGATCAGGTTGCAACTAATTTATGTTATATGAAACATAATACATTTTGCAATGCAAATAAGCTGGGTAGGTGGTTGCCTTATCAATTAAGGAAGAAACAGAGGTCGAGAATTATAGATAAAATAAATTATACTGGTAAAATAGTTTTTCAGAAAGAATTGATTAAAAAATCTTTTCTAGATTTTTATACAAAATTATATATGGGTCAGAAGGTACAGAGTGCGGATATAGATAAATATTTACAAGATGCTCATTTTCCGAAATTAACAAATGATCAAAGAGATGAGATTAATGGACTGATTACTTCACAGGAAATTATTATGGCAATTAAACAACTAAAAGTTGGTAAAGCACCTGGTACTGATGGATTGACATCAATTTATTATAAAACTTTAAGTGAGGAGATGATAGAGCCCTTGAAAGAACTTTTTAATAGTATATTAACGGGTTTAGAGACACCTCCATCTTGGAGAAGGGCTTTTATTTCCTTGATTCCAAAAGAGGATCAAGATCTTACTTTACCTAAAAATTATAGACCTATATCTCTTTTGAATATAGACTACAAAATGTTTTCGAAATTTTTAGCAAATAGACTTATGATTGTATTGAATCAAGTGATACATACTGATCAAACAGGGTTTATAACTGGGAGATATATGAAGAATAATGTTAGACAAATTATTAATTTAATAGAATATTTGGATAAAAATAATCAGATTCCTGCAGGTTTGATTTTTTTAGATGCTGAGAAAGCCTTTGATCAATTAAATTGGCAATTTATGTTAAGATTGGTTGAAGAGATGAATTTTGGGGATAAAATTTTGCAAGCTCTTAGAGGTATTTATCAAAAACAATCGGCGCAACTTATAATTAATGGAGATTTATCTGAGGTTTTTCAAATTGGAAAGGGTACAAGACAGGGATGCCCATTGTCCCCTTTGTTGTTTGTTTTAACATTAGAAATTTTGTTGATTAAAATTCGTGAATCATCTAAAATAAAGGGAATAATGATTAATAAGAAAGATTACAAATTAAGAGCTTTTGCTAATGATTTGGTTGTTACTTTGTCTCAACCAACCTATTCGGTATTGGAGTTGTTACAGATTATAAATCAGTATGGGCAAGTTTCTGGTTTTAAAGTTAATAATAATAAGACTAAAATATTATCTAAAAATATGTCTAATTCGGATAAGGAGATTTTAGTTAATTTGACAGGTTTTGAAATTGTAAAAAAGGTAAAATACTTGGGGGTTTATATAACTGTTTCTAATGTAAAAATGTATCAAAATAATTATGAAATGTTATGGCTTAAAATGCAGAAGGATTTGAATGATTGGAAAAAAATTGCAATTATCTTTGTTAGGGAGAATTGCTGCAGTTAAAATGAATGTTCTGCCAAAATTTCTTTTCTTGTTTCAAATGATACCCATTTTAAAGAAAGAGATAAATTTAGAAGAATGGCAGAAGGGTATTAATAGATTCATTTGGGCTGGGAAAAAACCAAGAGTTAAGCTTAAAATTATACAAGATGTTCGAGAGGTGGACTCAAGGTGCCGAATTTGAAATTGTATTATGATGCAATTTAAGGTTTTAACGTTGATTAGTGATTGGGTTAACTTAACAAATTCAAATATACTTTCTTTGAAGGAATGGGATTTATTATTTGGATGGCATGTGTATTTAATTTATAATAAAAACGTGGATAGGGTTTTTAAGTCCCATGTTTTAAGAATTGCTTTATTCGTGTCTGGAAGAAATATTATAGATTAAATTTCAGAATACCGTTGTGGGGAATTCCTGGACACGCAATAGAGGGGATAAAGAAAGGAGTGAAAATGGATAGGATTTTTTATAAACAATTGCTTAAGTGGGAAGGGAATAATTGGCAATTAAAATCTATGGAGGAATTAATGCAAGAAAATATTATTTATTCTTGGTTCCAGTATAGGCAATTATTAGAAAGATGGAGTATAGATCAAAAAGTGGGTTTTGTTATGGAAGATGTGAATTTGATGAAACAAATTAAAGATCAAAGTAGAACTCATATAAAAAGAGTTTATAATGCTTTAGTGGAATTGGATTCAGAAACAGAATTAGTTAAAGATTGTATGGTTAAATGGGCTCAGAATTTTGAAGAGTCGATTTTATTAGATACATGGGAGATAATTTGGGTGAGGAATGTTAAATTTACTCAAGCTCAAAATTTACGAGAAAATTTTTATAAAATGTTTTATAGGTGGCACCTTGATCCACAAAAGTTGTCTCATATGTATCCGAATGTACAGCCCAAATGTTGGAGATGTGGTTGTCTGGACGCAATGTATTATCATATTTGGTGGTCATGTAGAAATGTAAAGGCTTTTTGGATTAAGATTTGGTGGAACATTCAGAAGATTTTTAATAGAAGGATAAAATTTACACCACAATTATTTTTGTTAGGTATTATTGTAGACTGTGATGGTAAAGAGATTACCTTAATGTTAAATTTTATTACGGCAGCAAGGTTGCTGATTGGGCAATATTGGAAGAAGGATTCCTTGCCTACTATAGAAGAATGGTTTCTTAAAGTTTCTCATTTATCAGAAATGGTAAAAATTTCGGCTTATCTGAAAGACCATTCACAAGAGAGATATATCTCGGTGTGGAAAAGATGGGTAAATTTTGTACAGAATAAATATGGGATTAGGAAGTATTATTTAGCTTTTGAATAATTTTTAGTTTAAAATGGGTATGGTTGGGTTTGTAGTTTCTATGTATTGGAGTTAAAGTACTTTAAATTTTTTGGGATGTATGTATAGTGGATTGATGTTCATTTAATTTGTATGTTTTTTTTGTTTCTTTAACCCTGTATTCAGCTCTGGGAAGGAGGGGGGAGGGTTATGGGGTGGGAGAGGGGTATTTTATTGTAAAAAGTTTATAAAAATTTTCAATAAAAAAAAATATATCTTTAATACTTTATGTAAACAGCTAGTATAAAAGAAAATTACATGAGCACTCAAAAAGCAAATTAGTTAAGCAGAGCTAACAATTGCACTTGCTTGCCACTATAACAGTTCTTACAGATTCGAAAGAGATTAGATCTTTAGCATAAAAACAGAAAGCTATCCCAATCTCAGGTCCTCTGGCATTTGATAACTATTGAGGAAAAGGAATCTCTTTTTAAAAAAAAAAATTTATCCAAGTTCTAATAAATCTACGTTTATCTTATTGTTTCTGGTTTTGACACAAGGAGAGAAGATTAGTATTCAAAGAATCCATCTCAAACTACATTTTTACAAGCTTGGTTTCTGGTCCGAGGGAATTCTGATGCAAAGTAATGATTTGGATTGTCTGTGAAGGATAACCACATTTATTAACCTTGAGTTCTCTTCTATGGACCAGATTTAGATTGTTTTCAAAAGTTCAAGTTCACTTTGTCCCTGGATAAATTTTTGTTCTATATATCTTGGATCTCTTCAAACCTCTCCTTTAGAAATTACACAGAGGCTTAAAATCAGTGTTCTAAATCAGTGAAAATGATTAATTTGAGTGATGTGACTTTCTAATAAAATAAATTATTATTAACGTAATTAACTAAAGGATTAAAATAAAAATTTAATTTTCACATGCCTAGCAAGCTAAAAAGATATACTAAAGTACACATGGAACATTTACAATATATAAGTATATGGTTTAACAATGAGGAAATTATCAAAAGCTACAAGGTTAGAAGTTTATTCTATAAAAAAACAGTTTTCTTCATTTTCCACAAATATGTGTTTCATTACTTTGTTTTTTAAAAAAGCAGGATGCCAAAAATCTAGTTTAGCATTCTTTATGAATTTTTTTCCTAGAAGTGGATATATTTCAATAGCAAGGATCCAGCTACTTCCCAAGAGTAACTGGAAACAGATACAGTTTATAGAAATATTTTAAAAAGCCAGTTTTGATTCTAGGACTGTGAATTATGAAGAAGAATGGTTAATTTCACATTATAATAAGACTGAATGTAAAATATAAAAGCTTTCTGTCTCTGAAAAATATATTACCTGTTTAAAAAGTTAAAGGTTTTGTATATATGCAACTGAAGCAAAAATTAGAAAGCAGTAAACATCATCATAGGAAGTATCACAGATATGCTGTAATGTCACAAAAAGGATTGAAACAAACATTTAATTTCTAAAATGGCTGAGCTACATACTCTGGTTAGATCCATCCCAAGTTTCAATTGTGAGATAATATGAAGGATTACACTACGCTGATCATCCAAGTCTCCTAGATCGTCCTCTTCATTGTCTTCGGTATCTGTCACCTCATCTTCAACCAGAATTACTTCACGGGTTGTATGCTAAAAGATAGAATATAGTTAGTATTCTGGACATAAATAAAACAATATAGTATATATCAGTTGTGGCGAATCTATGGCACGAGTGTCAAAGACGGCACTCAGAGCCCTCTCTCTGGCGCGCCATCGCCCCAGCCCTAGACCTTCAGCTGGGTTTTGTAAAACCTTTTCACTTTAGGCCTCCACTGCCGTGTGCAAAAAAAAAAAGGTTCAATCAATTTCAACTTCTCGCGGGAAAAAAAAAGATCTTGCAAAGTTGGAATTGATTGATTGAACTTTTTAGTCCCACCCAGTCCGCCATTACCACCGCAGCCATGCCAACCCAATGGGCCACATGCACCGGGCACCCAACGATGCATAAGTGGGTTTTGGGTTGCAGTTTGGGCACTCAGTCTCTAAAAGGTTCGCCATTACTGATATATATTCAAATAAGCTTATGGAATTCTTTAAAAACACTAAAAAAAATGTTGATCCTGCATATTTTATAATATTGCCCCCAAAATACTAGAAGAACTTTTACTTTTGCTTGCTGTAGTGTCCTCCCCTCTACCCTCTTAGAGGAAAGATACTATAACAGACCTGGGTATTTTATGACCTGCAGGCCATATCCGACCCTTTAGCTGTTCCTGTTTGACAGGGGCAGGATAGTGGTGGGGATAGAGTGGCAGTGGGGGCTGGGGAGGGTTCATGGGTGCAAGGGCAGGGGGCAGTGGCTGTCCATAATAGTCCTAATTTCTCACATTTCCTCTTGGGAAAAATAATTGCTTACTGTTGTTTTTTTTATTAAAAAGTTTTTATTTTCCATTTATTCATACAAAATAATTCAATTCCTAACCATTGGTACCACCTGCCCATTCCCCCCAGGCTGCGTCCACCCTCTCTAAACCTTCCCTACTTCCTTCCTCTTTCTCTCCTCCCCTCCTACTCTCTTCCCCTCCCCTTCTCCTCTAACCATCCTACTTCCTCCCTACTCCTTCCTCCCCTCTCACACACATGAACGCAGCATAGGGGAAATGCCCTAGCATTTACCATGACTATATTATCATTACCCACCCACTCACCCACCCACCCACCCTCAACCCTCCCCCCCCTCGCTTCCCAGAGCAGAGTACAGGGTTATCAATAAGAAAGTTTAAAAAAAGAAAAAAAAGAAAGAAAAACGAAAAAAAACGAAAAAAACATCATACTTAACCTTTAACTCCCCTTAAATTAAGTCATATAATCTCTACAACAGTTACTATAAAATTTACTCATAAAATAAATGAAACTTTATAGTCCCATATTTTTTCTGAATATAATCTATCCATCATACAATAATATATCTTTCTTGTGTATAATCCTTCAAATAAGAAATTTTTGCCATTTCTGCAAAGTTAGAAACTTTAAATATCCATTCTTCTAAAGTAGGCAACGAGTCCTTCTTCCAATACGAGCCTACTAATAACCTTGCTGCAGTTAATAAATTCAACATTAAAGTAGTTTCTTTGTCATTTAAATCCACAAAGATACCCAATAGGAATAATTGAGGGGTGAACTTTATCTTCCTTTTAAAAATCTTTTGAATGTTCCACCAAATCATAATCCAAAAAGCCTTTACCTTTTTACAATTCCACCAAACATGAAAATATGTCGCATCCATATTACCACATCTCCAACATTTGGGTTGTAAATTTGGATACATACAAGATAATTTTTTAGGATCTAAATGCCATCTGTAAAACATTTTATAAAAATTTTCCCTCAAATTTTGAGCTTGTGTAAATCTAACATTTCTAATCCAAATTGTCTCCCATAAGTCCAATGGGATCGGATCCTGGATATTCTGAGCCCATTTAATCATACAGTCTTTAACCAATTCTGTTTCAGAGTCTAATTCTATTAAAGCATTGTAAATTCTTTTTATATGGGCCTGACTCTGATCTTTAATCTGAATAACCAGATTTCCATCTTCTAGTGTTATTCCTTCTTTCTTATCTACAGTCCACCTGTCCACTATTTGTAAATATTGAAACCATGACTGTAGAATATTTTCTTGCCTTAATACATCTAGAGATTTTAAATGCCAATCCGAACCTGACCAAATTAATAATTCTTTATACGAAATTTTATCAAAGTTCATCCCCTTTGAAATTCCCTCAATTGCATGTCTAGGAATCCCCCAGATAGGTATTTTATAGTTTAACCTATAATAATACTTTTTCCAATTGCTTACTGTTATAGTATACCAAAAAAGCTGAAGCTCAGTCTTCGCTGTGAGGGGGAAACTGAAATTGTGGGTCATGTGTTGTACCATTATCTTTAATAAAAAATTACTTCAGTCTGTTGCTAGCTAATCAGATGGCAGGGATTTCAAACAATAGTCTGGTTCTCTCTCAGAGCTATGATTCAATGCAAACAACTCCTCCAAGTCAGTTTGTGTCTCAACTAAGTCTCCAAAATTCAATATATTTTCTCATACTTTTTTTTTCTCCCTGCTGCCCTTTTTTTCTCTTTTCCTTTTAAATATACACATATACATATGTTTTATGTTGCTGTTTCTTTATTATATTTGGTTGGACCCTAATTGTGTTAAACCCAACAAACCCTATTAGGGCTCCAGCAAATCTTAGACATGATGTAAGATAGCATAGCTTAACATTTTCATAGTGTTTTACAAATTCTAATGTTTACTTATGTCCTTTTATAGTTTATCCTGTTTATTTATAGCTTTTAGATTATTCATTGTAAAATTGTAATTCTGTAATTTTTCACATTTTAATTCCTGTACACTGTGATATCAATATCATTTTTTATTTTTATTTCTATTTTAGAGCAATTGTTATATTATTAGATTTATGCTGGTCAATGACAAAAATAAAATTGAAAATGAATAAAAATATTAGTGATAAAAATTAAATAAAATGCCTTCATTAGAAAGCATCAAACTGGTAAGCATGTGCTTACGTTTCTCTTCCTTCTTTTGGTATCTTTTCCTCAAGCTAGGATTAAAGCTCCCTACCTTTTTTTTTCCCTGAGACTCTAATGTTTGGCGTCAAAATAAAGGCCAAACAATTTCACAATCCAGCAGAATAAGTACACGAAAAAAATCAAACTCTTGCAATGTGAAATGTCTTTTTAAAATGAATTGTCAGATTCAAGCTTTATTAAATAGCTTAATATCAATAGGGCTCAATGAGATCATGCCAATGAGAGATAAGTGTATATTAATACATTCAATGTATTTACCATAAAAAATACACACACACACACACACACATATATATATATATATATACACTTAAAAGCAAAAGTTGCAGACTTGGATATGTCATAAGTTGTTCAATTGGAAATATGAATGTAGAAAAATAATCCTCACAGGTTAGAGTTTTGGATGAAACTGTAAAGTATAAGCTAGAACATGGAAATATCTTGCCACTTGGAAGCAAATGAATGAATCACTCTACTGCGAATTACAATTAGGAAAATTGTATTACTATTTAACTTTTGTTGCTCACCCAATCAACTGAGTGAATATTCCTCTTTCAAATACTTTCAAGACAGAAGGATGCATATGAAGTTATGAACTCTGAAACTCTGAAATTGGAAAGAAAACTGTTGGAGAGTTATTGGAGCCTTTAGCAAACCTAGGCAATTATGAGTAATAAGATTCAACACTAATTAGGGACAGAGATCCAATTCTTAACAGAATTTCATGTCCTAAAATAAGATGAAAAAAGCTAAGCTGTAGAGATACAGAGTAGTACAAAGATAATCTTAAAGAAGGGATGCAGGAACCCCCAAGTAAACAGCAATTCGATCTGTAGAAAAGAAGAAAGGATGAGAAAAAAAAAACTAAAATCACCCTACCTTAATTCTATAATTTGCTATAATGGGGGATAAAGCAGGAATATTCTGCTAAACTTTCAAGATTCTATACTATACTCTATAATAATAGAGTTCCGAACATCCAGAAAATATCTGTTCAATCTAGGTTGGCAGGAGATTGGGAGAGGAGGGTAAAAATAAGGAAAGGGAAAGGGAAGTTTTACTTAATTTATTGCACTTCTCATTATCATAAAATTTCATTTTCTTTACAAAAAAATAAAAATGTCCTATGGTCAGCTCCACACATCACCAACTGATTACCTAACTGATACCTAGGTTATCCTAAAAACCACCACAGGCAAATCCACAGATACAATCTGATTGAAGAATTTCCACATTTATATAAATTGTTGAATAACCACCCATTAGTGAGCAGCATTTAATAAAATCCAGTAATAACAGTAGAAGGTCTTTCTTCCATAACAATAATTTGAACATAGCATTGTCATATCACGGAATATAGAAATCAGAACTCCTATACAAATTACAAGCTAGAAGTCAATTTTTAAAACATCTAAACTGATTAACAATATAAAAATCAGACAAAATAAAATCTATTTAGTTCAATATAATTGAAATATTCTTTGCAAAAAAAACTAGCTTACTTTATGTTTACTCGTTTGGGTAATTTTACAAACATTTTGGAATTGTTATATATAAATATATAAAATCATCTTAACGGTTTTGGGCATCATGAACAGCAAGCATATAACATACTTTCATAATAGAAAATAAAAACAAAAAAGTATCTATATCACCCTAAAATAATTATGCAAGCAAGGTTTAGTTGTAAGCTATAAATGTCAAAATTAGATTATATAATGTGATTTCTATCAATAGATGTATAGTGTACTTAATATAATCTAGCTCTACTTTCAGTGTGAATACTAAATCATTTTCACAAAACACCACCTTTTCCGTGAACTTTTTAATTGACTGTGCAGATGTTACGTTTGTGTGGTTCAAATAGCAATACATTTAGAGCAGTACCATTCTAGCAAGTTATTTATTTAGCTGTCCGTTGCAGGGTAACAGTATCCCACAAGTATGTTGCCTATAAAGGATTTCATTCCTCAAACAATAACAGAAAAGATAGACAACAGTAAGAAAACCTTTTATATCTCTGTTAACAATGAATG